GGCTCGAGGTACCTCAAAGAAGGTACCATTATTTTTGTTTAAAACATTTAGCAGAGTGCAACTAGTTTTTCTGACCCAGCTCTGGTAGCAGACCGAATTTAGGCATTTCGATACTTTGGACTAGCGTTTCTTACCATATTCATCCGACTTGTGTGACAGAGAGCTTTGTTGCTCATCTCCAGCTCGAGTTAAGTCAGGAAAGCCATCACCATTTTTGAAAAGTTAGCAGCGTACACGTAGTTTTTCTGACCCAGCGCTGCAGACCGAGTTCAGGCATCTAGATACTTTAGACTAGCGCGCCTGATGAGTTCCTTCCGATTGATGTGCCAAACAGCTTTGTAGCTCATCTGCAGATCGAGTCAAGTCAAGACAACCAGCACTATGTCTGGACACTTAGCAGAGTACGAATAGTTTGTCGGACCCAGTTCTCATAGCAGATCGAGTTCAGGCGTCTGGATACTCTAGGCTAGCGCGCCTGATGATTCCCTTCCGATTGCTGTGCCGAACAGCTCTGTAGCACATCTGCAGCTCGAGCTAAGTCAAGAAAACCATCACCATCTCTAACACGTTAGCAGAATACGAATAGTTTTTTCGGACGTAGCTCTGATAATTTAGACTAGCGCGCCTGATGGTTTCCGTTCGATTGCTGTGCCGAACAGCACTCTAGCTCATCTGCAGCTCGAGTTAAGTCAGGAAGCTCATCATCAAATTCCAAAAAATAGCAGAGTACGAATAATATCGCATACCTAGCTCTGGTAGCATACCGAGTTCAGACATCTAGCTGCTTGAGACGAACGCGCCTGACGATTCTAGATGGATTAGGTGTGCCTATCCATTATGTAGCTATCCTACAGCTCGAGTTAAGTACACAAAACTGACGGCACCTGCCAAGATGACACAAAACAGCCGATCCCGGCCCAGTGCTTTTTGGGAGTAGTAGGTACTCGATCGACTTGATATTAAGATGGCGAGCGGACGTAAGATCGCAGATGGGGGAAAATACGAGAGCTCTAACGAATGTTCAACTTTCGAGAAATCGAATTTACACCTAGCAAATGTATGCAAAACTCCCGTCGAGTTTTTTTGCCAACTCGCCCCCCAGCGCGCCGGAATTACTCTTCTAGTTTCGCCGCTAACGCTCTTAGGGGAGCTCGACGAGTCATTACTTTTCTAGCTCCGTCGCTAACGCTCTTAGGGAAGCTCTACGAGTCATGGTTTCGCACAGCCTCCGTTCTTATTTTCTCTTGGCAGTCCGATGAGCGGGTTCTTCTTTCTCCTTTGTCTTTTTTTTCTGTTCTCGTCCCGTCCCCCTTGTCTCGTTCTCCTTTCTTTTCTCCCTCTCTGCTCGCTGCTGTCGCTGTGGTCGTCCGCCGTCTTCCTCCTTTCCCTGGCTCCGCCCCCCGTGAGCCGCAGGCGAATTCTCGCCAGGCGCGTCCGGAGCTTCTCGTTCCTCCTCGTTTTCCTCCTGCCTGGTTGCCTGCCACCTTTCCTCTCCCTCCTTTGTTTGTCTCTGTCTTTGTGTCTTCTTTCGTTGTGCTTTCTCCGGCAGTGCTGCCGCCCGCCGGCCTGCTGAACTGGCTCCGGCGGCCGCAGTGATTGTTCTAATTGCCGAATGGTGCCGTGGTGTATTGCGTAGGCCCGATAGAAAAAATTCAATGGAAGACAATCGCGCCGTTGGCGCCCCGTTGTCGCCCCCCCTCCTCCGTTCACCCGTTGTGAGTCTTCTTGTTTTTCTGCTTCATTCAGCGTCCATTATTCTTGCCGGTCTTGGGTTGCTCACGGGTTACTCTCAGACCGCATTGGGCTTGTCACGTGCTCTTGTTGGGTTGTCTTGGGGGCCTCTTGGGGCATTCTTGGGCCGTTCAGGGCTCAGTGGGAGATTGCGGGGCATGGGCCGTCGTGAACTCCCCAAAGGGGTCTGCTGGTGCCATCTGGGGTCGTGCTCGCTTCCATGGCGGTTTCTTGGGTTTGCCTGCGGATTAGCGGATGCAGTGCAGGTGCGGCGGTGACGTCATCAAAGTCGCCTTCAGGTCTCGGCAGAACAGTTGCGTCGCGTTTCCAAGTGGGGTGGTTAGTTGAGGGCTTCCGACCCACGTTGGGGCGTTTGAATTTTGTGCCCCCCGCTCCAAGAAAACATGGTGGACGTAAGGAATTCTCTGGTGGCCTCGATGGCCCCAAAGCACGAGACATTTGCCGATCCGCGAAATCTAATAAGGAGTTCCCTGGGTCCCAAGTAAGGTCCTTATTTGGGTGCCGGCATTTCCACAATTCAGGGCCTTATTTTGGTCCTCGGCGGTCGCAGGTCCCACAAGGCCCACAGGTCTCGCAGATCTCGCAGGTCGCGCAGGTTTTACAGTCCTCGCAGGTCCCACAAGTCCCATAGGTCCCACAGGTCTCGCAAGTTTCACAAGTCCCGCATGTCCCGCATATCCCACATATCCCACAGGTCCCGCAGGTCCAACAAATCTTGCAGGCGCCGCAGGCCTTGCAAGTCTGGCAGGTTTCGCAGGCCCCACACGTCCCATTGGTCCAACAAATCAAATCGTTCTCACTTGTCCCATGAATCCTAGAGGTCCCACAGGTTCCACATGTCCCATCGCTCCCACAACGCCCACAGGTCCCACAGGCCCCGCAAGTCACACAGGTCTCATTGATCTTGCAGGCCCTTCAGGTCTCACAGGACCTACATGCCCCACAGGTCCCACAGTTCCAAGAAGTCTCGCAGGCCCTGCAAGTCCCACGGTCCCCACTGATCCCACAAAACGCACATATCCTACACAGGTCTAACATTTCCCACAGGCCCAGCGGGTCCCACAGGTCCCACTGGACCCACAGGTCTCACAGGTCCCACAGGTCTTCACGGGCCACGCAGGTCCCACCGGTCCCACAGGTCCGACGGGTCCCACCAGTATCACAAGTCCCACGGGTCTCGCAAGTCTTGCAGGTCGCACAGGTCCCACAGGTCCCGCAGGCCCCACAGGCCCCACAGGTCTCACAGGTTTCTCATGTCCTACAGGCCCCACACGTTCTGCATTTCCCACTGATCCCACAAATCCCACAGGTCTCGCAGGTCTCTTTGGTGCCGCAGGTCCCACAAGTCGAGGTCCCACAGGTCCCACAGCTCCAATGGGGCTCGTTTGTCCCGGAGGTCCGACAAGTCCCAGAGGTCCTACAAGCTCTGGAGGGTTCGCGGGTCTCGTAAATCCCGCAGGTCCCGCAGGTCCTACAGGTCCCGCTGGTCCCGCATGTCCCACAGGTCCCACAGGTTTCACAGCTCCATGTTGTCTAGCAGGCTTTGATGGTCCCACATGTCTTGCAGGTTCCACAGGTCTCTCATGCCACCTTTTGCTGCTATCAAGGTGCTTTGCCAGGGTAAATCTTTAAGTGCTGGCGCACGTAATCGTTTGAGCTGCGCGCAGTGCCGAAAATGGCTGCCCCACAAATGCGGAATTCCGGCCGTCCTGGATTGTTTATGTGAATTTGCGGTGGCGGTGGCTTCCATCGTGGTCATTTATGTCGCCAGCTTCTGACTTATGGGCCCGTCCCCGCCTCGGTCCCATGTCTTGGCCACCAGCGACATGCTTACCCTGCTGCGCCCCGACTCCCATTTGCCAAACGGACAAAAACAAAACACAACCACAACGGCAACAACATATCGAACAACAAAGATGGATGCCCGAATTTCGAAGTATTGATCCGAACAACAAAACAAATCAATATTTCAGGGCGGTCAGAAGCGAAGCCTGGCAGCTCGGCGCTCTTGCGGAAGACGCGCGCAGTTCATCTAGCGTCGGGGGGAGGGCATGCAAAGCACAGTCTGCATCCGGATGCGGCAGCCGCGGGCGCGATGGTTGACGGGAAGCCAGCAATATGAACAACAACATATTAGGGTCACAAGAAGCAAGCAGCGTCGCAAATTGCGACGCATATGCCAGCGGACGAAGCACTATAATATGTACTTGTATTATTATTATATATATATATAGAGAAAGAGAGAGAAAGAGAGAGAGAGAGAGAGAGAGAGAGAGCGAGAGAGAGAGAGAGAGAACGATTTATATATAGAGAGAGAGAGAGAGAGAGAGAGAGAGAGAGAGAGAGAGAGAGAGAGAGAGATAATGAGAGAAATATATGGAGAAAGAGAGGGAGAGACAGAGAGAGAGAGAGAGAGAGAACGATAACGAAAGAAAGAGAGAGAGGGATACGTAAAGAGAGGTTGAGCCAGAGAGAGCGAGAGAGAGAGAGAGACAAATATAACGAGAGACAAATACAGATATTCACATATTTTTATTTCTTATATATACACAGAGCGAGAGAGAGAGAAACAGAGAGAGAGAGAGAGACAGAGAGAGAGAGAGAGAGAGAAATAGAGAGAGAGAGAGAGAGAGAGAAAGAGAGAGAGAAAGAGACACGTATGTGTTGACGTTTGTTTGTCGTTCGTGTGGGGTGGTTTATGTTTTTTTTTTTTTTTTTTTTGTTTTTTTGTTTTTTTGCAGGTTCCCCATCGATTGGTGTGTTTCCCGACGTTGGCGGCGGACTGCCGCATGTTTCAACATGTTATTGATATGTGTATGTATGCGCTTTTTTTGGCATGTACTAGATCCATGGTTTTCTGTCGTCGGGTCTGTTGTGCAAGCCTGCAAGTTTTTGGAGGTTTACCAGGCTTCGTGATGTCCATGTGAGGTCACCCCGTATCTTTTTAGACGCAAGTTCAGGCCTCCAAAGGAAAGTTGTTGTGCTGGATGGGAAGGCGTTTGTCAGGGCTCGTCTGTTAGACAGTGCATGGTGCTATTCAAAAGCAGGCGGGGGATGTCACGACCAACTCAAACAAAAAATTGAAGTTCGACGTCCACCATTGGATGACCCACACCTCGTGACGCAAGAGTTGCTGGTTTCGTTATTGCGATTTTCGAAAAAAAAACGCTGCGTTTCGACGTCAGTCATCGGTATTATCATAATATTTGGCTATGTTTCCCCACATGACATTATTGTTGCTTCTGGAGGAACTTGGTCGGCATGACGATCTGCATGGTGGGTTTCTCAATCGGTCTGCCAACTTTTTCTCTGTGGCTCGCATGTTACAATTGATGAACCATCAATCCTCGTAGTCGCCAGTGCTTTGTAAGTGGGAGCGCGCAGTCATGCATTCATGCGCATGCATGTGCATCTTGGAGCGCGTGTGATCATTAGTCCGTTTGCGCTTGCATGGGATATATTCTGACATATTATTTGATCTTTTATCTAAACGGGGTAAAGCTATTGGTGTACGAGTGTTGTGAATACAATGCGCAGAGCGCTGAGTGCGTTCACTTCTGATTTCACAGTGTGTCTATTTCTCGTTTCGTAGGCGCTTATAGTTGCCCGCCGATCTCATCGACCAACTCATAGCATATTGAATACAGCCGTTCTCATTCAGGACGCGCAGCCGTTCTCATCTCGTTGGATCACGGTCGCCTTCTGCCATTTTTGGTCATATTCATGGCGGGCGGTGGAATGTGTTTGCCATAGTCCGCGCTTGTCCCCAGCCTTTGTGCTCCCCGGGGTCGCTGCCAACCTTCCTTTGAACGCCGTGTCCGTGCCTTTCCCTCGCAAGGCGCAGTCCTGCGCGGGCGTCATTTTTTTTTCGCTGTCCCCGATGGTTCTGGCCCTGGTGCTGCCCTGTGCAGAGCTCGTTTCGATTCCTCCGATTCGATTCGGTTCGATGTCGATGGCTTCCGATTCCGATTCGATTCGACCTGGGATTCCGATTCGGGTTCCGATTTGTTATTTGAGGCATACTAGCCTGCCGATTCCTGCCGACTCGACTTTTCCCGACTCGGCTGCCGATTTCTGCCTATCCGATTCATGTCGATCGCCGATCCGACTAATCGATTCGATTCTGGGATCTCCTGCCTGTGTCGCCGCCGAGCTTCTTCTCCGGTCCTTCGGCTGTCCTCGGCATGGGAGCTGCCCTGCGTCACTGCCGATTCCCGCTCGCTGGCGGTGTGCCCGACACCAGTGTTCCATTCGCGATCCCGCACATTGGCTTGCCGCGTCGACCGTGCTGCCGCTCAAAACGAGTCCCCGACCTTGTCCCTGGCCCTGGTGCTGGTTGACGCCGCCGTCGGTCTCCATCGACGCCCGCCGTGCCCGCCGCTGTCGCCGATTGGCTCCCGCAGCATCCTGTGCCGCCAGCAGATTCTTTCGCCATCCGTGTTCTCAGTTGTCCTGGGCCCTGGCTGCCTCGCGTCGCCGCCATTTTTTTGGCTTGCCGTGTACCCGACTGTCCCTGGCCCAGGTGCTGCCTTTCGTCGCCTCCCCTCTCGCGGAACGTCCCTGGCCCTGGTGCTGTCCTTCTCATCATTGAAGAGAAACGGGTGCTGCTGTCTTCATGTTTTGCCCAATGCGAGATTTGTGTCGGCATGGCTCCCGGGGTGAGGTTTTCGAAAGCCTGTCCGCACGCAGTGTGAGGGGCGATGGGGCTCGCCTTCAACCTGGGGGGGCGCGGTGAAATCTGCAGGCTTGGGGTCCGGGACGCACGGCGCTCCTGCTCGGTTTGCAGAGAGTCCTGTTGCAGCACAGCCGTGGTAGGACAGGCCAGGGTCGGTGCTATTCCGAGTAGGTCCCGAAGGTGGCTGGGCTCCTCGCGGTGACTCTGGATTTGTCCGTGTGCTGCTTTCTGTCGTTTTCGTTGCAGCCCACATGAGAGCATGGGAGGGGGGGAAAGGGGGAGGAGTGCAAGATCCGAGGTGTGAGGGGGGTAGGACGAGTCTTCGAGTTCCACTGAACAGTCGGCTGGAGAATGAGCTGCAGATCAGATTTGGGGGCGGGGCTAGGAGGGATGGTCCATGGATTGGGGTGTGCCTGGAAGCCGTCTGCGATATGATTCAGTTGTGTGTGCCGATATCGACGATGGAGAGATGGATCACATTGGACTTTGGGTTCGTTGTGTATGTTTCCCGGCTGATTTGTCTGGCCGGTCAGTGCTGCTCGATCTTTCTTCGCTGACTCGTGGACGTATTCGATTCCCCTGGCCCCCTTGCCATCCTGCTGTTCGGTCTGGGGCCGCTGAACTACGTGGTCCCAGCAGAGGTTCTGCCTCTGCCGTGTCGCGCTGTCGGCGTGGCGACCTGCAACGTCTTGTGCCGAATTACAGAGGCGAGTTACGGATTAACTTTTCTGTCTTCGTGTTTATTGCGAGTGAGGTGCATTTCGACCGTCTTCCTTTTCCCGCCACCGCGTACGCGTATACGTATATGAGTACGCAGATACGCATATCTCTCTCTCTCTTTCTCTCTTTCTTTTTACATAGATCTTATCGCGCTTGTTGCTGATTGCCATTTGGACCTCGGGATTGCGGGTTTGGACACCCTTTCTGAAACCATGAAGATCGCGCACGCGGGGTGCTAGGGCTATGCAAGTGGTGGGCCAATCTCATGACAGAAGAGGTCTTCATTTTACTTGCTCAACAGCCGATTGCGGTGACCTCGGCTTCCCAGTGACACCATATTCGTGGGGTAGCGGCTGTCCCTTTCTCTTTTCTTCTTTCTCTCTGGCTTCATCACCCATTCCTCTTTCTTTCTCTGTATGTATCTTTCAAGCTCCCGTCTTTCAAGGCTCATTGTTATCCATATTTCTACCTCGCTACCCGTGTAGATAGTTCGGATTGTTCGGTCTCTATTATTACTTCGCCGTGCATCAACTATCTGTCGCCATACTTGAGCCGCTCTACTAATTTACGTTCGCCTGTCACGTGTCGTGTGTAGATGTGGACGCGGAGTTGGCTGCTGCAAGGTCTGGCCCACCGTGCCTGGGTAACATCGCAGTTGTTCCGCTGAGCTGTTTTGAGGAGGAGTTCTGGAACCACAGGGTCCTAGTCTCAATGCTCCCGAGATGGTTCCGAGTTCCGAGGTGATGGATCTGGGGGTCTCGGGCTTGCCTGTTGGGAGTCTGCCGGGTTTGTCGTTGAGGGTGTCCGAGGTCGGTCTTGGTGCGTGTGGGGGTCGTTTTTCGTGCGTTTCTAGAAGTGGTCCTGCCACAAGGTGTCGCCAGCTTTTCGCGCCAGGAACCACTGGGGCCCTCAACGCCCGATTTTGGGCTGGTCTTGGGCTTTCTCGTCGCCGCCGCCGAGAGCCGAGAGCCGCCGTCGCCGCCCCAGAAACCCTTGGGACACCTTGGGTCAGGGACACCTTGGGCCACCTCCGATTCTTGGGCTGGTCTTGGGCTGCCTCGCCATCGCCGCCGAGACCGTCGGGAGCCGCCGTCGCCGCCGCGGGTAGGACTTCGGGCGACTCCAGGGGGCTCCTAGGCAGCTTGGGGGCGGGGGGGGTCTTGAGCGGGCTTTTGTGCGCCTGCAAGCGAGCCCGATGTGGGCGATTCCAGGCGGCCCCGTGCGATTCCAGGGAGGTCTCCTGGTGGGCTCGCGACTCGGGGCGGCGCCGTGCGATTCCGGCTCGAGGGAGGAGGCTCCCTGGTGCCCGCCAGGAGCTCCCACCCCCCCGGGGATCGCGCAGAACCGCCTGGAATCGCCCAGCGCAAGTTGTGGTACCCTGTGATCCGACGTCGCGAGCAGAAATGAGACATCGTGAAGAATCACGGCCAGAGACCCGGACCCCATCTTCCCGCGCCATTTCGGAGCCGCATTGATTTGTGAGGGCCCCGGGGCCTGAAATGAGGCCAAGTTGTCCGCGGTTGAGCAAAAATTGCGACGCCAGGATTTCAGGGTAGGGCTACCAGTGATGCTCTGTCGGCGCCACCCCAACATACTAATACTATGTGTGCGTTGCCCCCTTCCAGGGGCGACGCACGCACCGAGAAATCTTACAGTATATGCCTCGTGGCGGGCGCTTTCTGGCCACACCGCTCGGGAAACGACACACCACAAGACGGGCATACTATGTGCTCGGGACGGACGCGCACCTCTGACGAGGACAGAATAGTACCAGAGTCATGGCGCCAACTTCGCAGAGCGGATTCCGTTCGGAAAACACTGGGATGGGCCCAGATTGTCCTGGAGAATTTCGTTCCGGATTTCGAAGTGAATTTCGCGCGGATTGTTTTGGGTCAGGAATGAAGACTACAAAACATCGACGTGCAATTCACGTCGTTTTTCGGTCGCCGTTTTGGGGATCTTGCATCTGCAGAAATCCATGCAAGAGTCCGCTGGAGCACGTCTGCAAGGTCGGTGCAGTGACCAGTGTGTGTCTTTGTGCGTTCCAATGTTTGGCGGGAGAGAAAACAAAAGGTCGACTCCAGGGAGGGAGAGAAGGAATGACGGAGGGAGGGAAAGAGGGAGAGAGGAGGAGAAGGAGGAGGAGGAGGAAGAGGAAGAGGCGGAGGAGGAGGAGGAGGAGGACGCGGAGGAGGAGGAGGAGGAAGAGGAGGAGGAGGAGGAGGAACAGGAGGAGGAGGAGGAGGAGGAGGGAGGGAGGGAGGGAGGGAGAGCGGGAGAGAAAACAAAAGGTTCGCTGGGCTCCCGGAAGGCTTCGGGGGGGGGGGCCGCAGCGGCGGCGCGTCGCCGTCGTGGCGGAGCGGCGCTTCCCCGGGCGGGCCCCTGTGGGCGGGTTCAGCGCACGGGCGGCGCGGGCAGAGGCTCCACGCCACGTGGCGTGCCCGCCCTGCGTTTTCCACGGGGGGAGAGACACACACACACACAGACAACAAATCGTGGATTCCCAGGAAAGTATGGGAACATGTTATAGACCATGTGAACACAGATGGGGGGTCCTGGGATTTGTGTATGCTTGTTCGTTTTTCCCTGGGCCCCTTCAGCCTTACAAGCTGCTGCAGCCTCACACACATACGGCTTCGCGCGCAGTCAAAGCTAGCGAGGTCGGAATTTATCCATATCTACCGCCTGGGAACCGACCTTCTGGGGATCCAGCGGGCGGCGGCTATAGATATGGATACGGATATGGATATGGAGAGGGGTCTGAATATGGATGTGCCTATGGATATGTATATGGATATAGATATGGCTATGGCTATACGTATACACATAGGTATATATATATATATATATATATATATATATATATAGATATGTATATGGTTGCCCCCCCTCCAAGATCATACATCTCGTCTTGAATCGCATTCATCTTCATCTCCCTCCTATTCGTCTTTACCACGTTTTTTTTTTTTTTTTTTTTTTTTTTTTTTTTTTTTTTTTTTTTTTTTTTTTTTTTTTTTTTTTTTTTTTTTTTTTTTTTTTTTTTTTTTTTTTTTTTTTTTTTTT